ACCAGCCTTTCAGCTGAGGGGTAGAGATGACAGTGAGCACTCTGTAAAATCCAAATCAAAATTCCGTACAGGCATACAGTCATAAGTTTATACAACAAGAGTAAAGGCCCTTCAGACCATCGTGTCCACATTAGTCATCAAGCATCTATCTATTCTAATTCCATTTTTCCGCATTTGATCTGTAGCTTTGTATGTTACAGAGTTTCAAGTGCTCATCTAAATACTTCCTAAATGTCTTAGTGTTTCCTGCTCCTACTATCCATTTAGGCAGTAAGTTCCAGATACCCATCACTCCCTGGGTAGAAACAATTTTCATCAAATCCCCTCTAAACCTCCCACTCCTTTCCTTAAAACGGTACCCCTGGTTATTGACCCCTCTATTAAGGGGAACAAATTCTCCGTATCTATTCCCTTCATAACTTTGTAGCTCAATCATACCTCTCCTCAGCCTCCTCTGCTCTAAGGAAAAATACTCCAGCCTGTCTAATCTCTCTCTATCGTTGAATAAACTCCAGCCAAAATCTCTCTTCATAACTGAATCAGGTTGAGCATATCTAGTCTCTCTTTATAACCCAGGCAACCTGCTGGTGATTCTCCTCTGCACCCTCTCTGGTGCAATCACATCCTTCCTATATTGTTGTGACCAGAACTACTCACAGTATTCAAGTTGTGGTCTAATTAACATTATATGCAGCTCCATTATAATCTCCTTCCTCTTGTGTTCAATGCCTTGACTACTAAAGACAAGTATCCGCTGTACTTTCTTAACCCCCTTATCTACCCATCTTGCTGCCTCTAAAGCACTATGGACATGCATACCAAGGTCCTTCTGATGCTCTGTACTACCTAGGATCCCACAATTCATCATGTACTCTCTTGCCTTGTTAGTCCTCCCAAAATGTGTCACCTTACACTTTGAGGATTAAATTCCATTTGTCATTGTTCTGCCCATCTAATCAGACCATCTATATCACCCTGTAGTCTAAATCTTTCTTCCTCACTATTTACCACACCATCAATTTTCACATCATTCTGCAAGCTTACTGATCATACCTCCTGCATTCATGTCTAGATATTAATATACACTACAAACAGGAAGGGATCCAGCAAAGCAGTGTGGTACACCTCTGGACACAGTTTTCCAGTCACAAAACCATCCTTAAACCATCACCCTCTGGTTCCTGCCACTTAGCCGATTTTGGTCCATCATGGTGTGTTTGCTAGCTTGTATCAGTTTTCAGTTAAGCAGTGCCTTGATTTCAAAATTCCGATCATTGTTTCCAAATATTTCCACTCCCTCCATGACTTGAAGCCTATCCCTCCACCTCTTTATCTCTGTAATCTCTTTTAGGCCTGCATATCCCTAAGTTATCGATGCTGTTCCAGTTCAGACCTCTTTACTAACCCCAATTTTAATAATTCAGCCATTGGAAGTTGTACCTCCAGCTTCCAAAGCCCCAAATTCTGAAATAATTTCTAAAATTTGGCTACTGTCATTACTCTTTGAAGATTTTCTTTAAACCTAACCTCTGTGACCAAGTCTTCTGTCTTTTTTTAAATTCTCTCATTAGATGTGAACATGGCTGGCAAGGATGGAAATTTGTTGTTCATCCTTCGTTGGCTTTGATAATGTGGTGGTGTAGAAATCATATTGTAGTTACACCTACAGTGCTCATAGGAAAGGAGTTTCAAGATCCTGACGCAGTGATATTGAAAGGATTTATTTTCAATTATTTCATGGAATGTGGGCATTGCTGACAATGTCAGGATTTGTTGCCCATTCCGAACTGCCCTTGAACTGACTGCTTAGGTACTTCAGTGCAGTTAAGAGTCAACCACACATCTGTGGATCTGGGGTCACGTGTAGAATAGACTAGGTAAGGATGGCAAATTTTCACCCCTAAAGCGCGTTAGTAAACCAGATTTTTTTTAACAATAATTTTGCGGTCATTACTGAAACTAACTTTAGATTCCAGATTTATCAGTTGGATCCTTGTCCCCAGAACGTCAGCCAGGACCTCTGAATCTCTAGTCCAGTGACATTATCGCCACACCACTATCTTGCCTTGCACTAATGTGTTGCTTGTTGACAAATTTTGTTTGTTAAAACTGCTGAGAAGTATCTTGGGGTTTATTTTTATGAGGCCAGAAGCACTGTCTAAATACTGGGAGGTGCTGTGAGACATTGGTTTAAAGTCCAGGACAAAAATACAGGCAAACTTGGTCACTGTAGGAAATAGATTGCACCTTTAGAAGCGTGACAGTTCTATCTAAGCACATTATTTACTAGGATATGAAAAATGTTTAATAGTTAAATGTTAGAATTTTACTTCAAAAGGTGGCTGCCATCCCACATGGTGTAAGACTAGTAGTATGGTTATGGTTAGTAAGTTTGCAGGTGACACCAAAATTGGTAGCATAGTGGTCAGCAAAAAAAGGTTACTCAGAGTACATCGGGACCTTGATTAGATGGGCCGATGGGCCACGGAGTAGCAGATGGAGTTTAATTTAGATAAATGTGAGGTGCTACGTTTTGGAAGGGCAAATCAGGGCAGGACTTATACACTTATTGGTGAGGTCCTGGGGAGTGTTGCCAAACAAAGAGACCTTGGAGTGCACGTTGATAGTTCCTTGAAAGTGGAGTCGCAGGTAGACAGGGTAGTGAAGAAGGCATTTGGTATGCTTGCCTTCACTGGTCAGTGCATTGAGGAAAGGAGTTGGCTGGTCATGTTGCGGCCGTACAGGACATTGGTTGGGCCACTTTTGGAATACTGCATTCAATTCTGGTCTCCGTGCTATAGGAAGGATGTTGTCAAACTTGAAAGGGTTCAGAAAAGATTAACAAGGATGGTGCCAGTGTTGGAGTTGAGCTATCATGGGAGTCTAAGTAGGCTGGGGCTATTTTGCCTGGAACGTTGGAGGCTGAGGCATGATCTTATAGAAGTTTATAAAATTATGAAAGGCATGGATAGGGTAAAGAGTCAAAGTCCTTTCCCCAGGGTCGGGGAGTCCAAAACTAGAGGGCATAGGTTTAAGGTGACAGGGCAAAGATATAAATGGGACCTAAGGGCAACTTTTTCACGCAGATGGTAGTGCGTGTATGGAATGAACTGCCAGAAGAAGTGGCAGAGGCTAGTACAATTACAACATTTAAAAGGCATCTGGATGGTTAAATGAATAGGAAGGGCAAATGGGACCAGATTAATTTAGGATACCTGGTCGGCACGGACGAGTTGGACTGAAGGGTCTGTTTCCGTGCTGTACATCTTTATGACTCTATGACATTAAGTACAACTCCAGTTTTCAATTTATTGTGACGCCTATAAACATCCTGAACATTTTGCTTAACTTCAACATTTCTAGCTACAAATGTTGAGAACACCATCATTTTGATGCAAAGTGCCCTTTAGAGAGGCAAACCCACTAAATAATTAAAACAATAACATTTCCATGCAATATATGGTCAAGAAAAGCTGTTTCACGTTCAGAAGCAATCGAATGAAGGGGGCAAATTACTTGCCTTTTAGCTGTATTAGGCTTAGTTATTTGAATTAAGTTTAAGTTGCCTGTATACTATTTCCTACCTGTGAAATTTCAGTGAATCATTCCCTTCAGGTGTAAAGGTGGTTAAGATTCTATGTAAATACAACTTGACTATGCTTCCTGTCCTTTCATAGTCACCCTAAAAATGCCAGAGTTCTATCTTTAGCTGTCTCCTTTTTCATGGCTGCATGCTGTATCTTGTCATATCATCTGTAGACATGGGGTTAGAGACTTATCTTGGACAGCAGTGCAAAATGGAAGATATCAGGTCATCTGTCTGACCTGAAATTCAGATTCAGTACAGGTGCTTGCATGTGATGGGTGGCTGTTGGCAGTTAGCTTTCATATTTATGTTAAAAACACACAGCTTTCCACTACCATCACTGCTGTCCAACATTAAGCAAGTACTATTTTCCAATTTACTGTTGGTAAGAGAGAAAGTAGCTTGTTTTATTACCCATTAGTCCCAATTACATCCCTTCATCAGCTACTTGCTCAGGTTAAAGATATTGGTAAGCAATATAGATCGACTGGCGGCTTGAATTGAGCTTTAACCTCCATTTATTAACTATTCATTTTCATATCTGCAGCACTATCTCTACTATTTTGACATTTATGCTAATACCAAAACCTTTATACATGTCTTAACCTCCTCAAAATTCTACTTTTCTAACATTCTGTTCTCTGACTTTCTAATTCCTCATGTGCATTAACTGAGTTGACCAAGACTACAATAACCACATTAATCTTACATTAAGTCTGACTCTCCATTTCTCTTGTCTTTATCAGTTTTAATTGGTTCTTGTCGCTAACACACAGAATTCAAATTAATTACTTTTGATTACGAGTACATCCACTGCATCCATCCAAGGCATCATCCTTCCTTGTGTCAATAACTTCCATGACCCCTATGTATCAATGATTGTTAGCTATTCTTCAACCTCTGACCTTCACTCCATACCACTTCCTTCATTTATCTTCACTATCAGACATTGTGCTCTCTGGGACTTTAAACCCTTTCAGCTTCTATCTCTCTCTCTTTCTCCACCCTAACAAAAGCTGTGAGAAATAAATTGTATCTTCTGACTGAGGATCAATGCTATTTTACCATATTAGTGATATACTTCGTTAATTCTTCTTTAAACTTACCTTTGATCACTGCATCAAATTTCTCTTCCACCACTACGGCGTCTATTTTCATCTATATGAAATGTCCTGGGACCTATTACCAGATTAAAGAAGATATAAAAATACAAGTTGTTATTATTGCCTGCTATGTGTAGCCCTGTAGTTATCGTCAATAATTTACAGCACCTTTTTGTAGATTTTGTGACTTATGTTTACTGTTTAGTTTACAGTGAACAGAAGTGGTACATATTTAAAATATTCCAATCTGTGTTGAAGGTTTAATGCAGACAAGGGTTTCTAAGGGAACATGTCTATGGATCTTTTCACAGAATCTTATATTAGATGTCTACTCTAGTCAACAAGAAAGGAAGAAAACACAGCGCGAGGGAATGTCTTATAGATGAAATAAGGAAAGATCACATATTTTGGCTTCTGGCCTGGAGTCCCAACGGGACAAACCTCCCTCTGATTTTCCTAGTTGTATATCTCAACCCATGATCTGTACACTCTAATCTTAAATTTGAAGAATGGTGACTACTATATCCAAAGGTGGGTAATCCATCCTTTTATTTGTGTTATAAATAACAAAATAGTTATCAATTAGGATTTTTTTAAAATATAAGTCTCTAGTGCTGAAATATAAGTCTCTTACTTGTAAATAAACAATACAGAAATATTGGACAGCCTGAAGGCAAGCAGAAGATATGTACTTCCTTACTGTTTCGAAAAATTCTTTTGTACAATACATGACTACTTTTGCATAATATTACACAATATATTGCCTAGAACAGGTCAACAGTCTGTGCTGCTGTTTATGCTTCAGTCAAGCAACTTCCCATTCATTCTCATTTAAATAATTCTATCAGCATAACTCTCTATTCTCTACTCTCAGATGCTTAACCAGTGTGCTGATAAATGCATCCATATTGTTAGTTACAGCAGTCCCCAAGAACAAACTTGTCCAGCTACATTAAGTGGAGAACAAGCATACAGTCTGGCAGACAAACACAGAGAATGCTGAAGAAACTCAGCAGGTTTGGCAGCATTTGTGGAGAGAGAAACAGAATTAATGTTTCAAGTCTCATATGAGTCTCATCTTCAGAACAGTCTGCCAAGGTTTTTCTCATGTAATCTTCTACTGTTCAACTTATTCATTATGCAACTGGGCTCCTCAGGTTCCTTCTCAAGGAATTGCAAGACAGGAGAAGCAAAAGTGTTTAATGTTGCTGGGAGCTTTTGGGTTTCACATTGTTGAAACTACTTTTAAAGTCCAGCTGCAGACCACTTCAGAAGCTTGGAACTGGTCCTCACACAGCGATAAGATGCAATCTTTGCGGATGCATGAAATGTGTGTGAGTATGTGTCCCTGCACACAGATCATAGCTGATCCTGAGTTGTCAAGTAAACAGAATCATAAAAACAAGGAGTAGGTCATTAGGCCCTTTGAACCTGCTCCACCATTCCATATGATCATGGTTGATCCTCTATTTCAATGTGACATCCCCACTTTCTCCCCATATCCCTTAATTTTTGAATATATTCACTGACTTGGCTTCCACAGCCTTCCATGGTACAGAATTCCACAGGTTCATTCGCCTTTGAATGAGGACATTTTTTCCTCATATCAGTCTGAAATGGCCTCCTCTGTATCCTGAGACTGTCACTCCTAGTTCTAGACTCCACCACTCAGGGAAAATATCTTCCCTGCATCTAGTCTGTCTAACCCTGTCATAATTTTATATGTTTCAATCAGATCCCCTCTCATCCTTCCAAATGCGAGTGAATACCGGCCCAGTTGAACCCAGCTGTTCCATTTCTGGTTACATCCTAGTATTGGAGGGCTGAAGTGGTAGGCAAGTTGGACCAAGAGCAGGCATGATGATATAATGAAGCTGGTGGTTTATTGATGCCAACTTGCTTGGATTAGGAGTAGAGTAGAATGGTTTCCACGGTGCATTCAGGGACGTTATTGTGAAGAAACAGTTGGATAAAGTTTGGAACAAGTGATTGGCTTGCTGCAGTCACCTAGCCAATTATCACTCTTTCCGACTTCCGTATTGGGAATTTGAGCTATCTAAATTCTTGGGCAAGGAGAGGAGAATAGTTGCTCTTGAGGATTGCTTTGCCATTTAAACTTAGCCATGATAGTAGGGAGGGCTTTGTGGGCCAAGCAACCTACTCCTCCTATTGTCTATGTTTCTATAAATGAGACGAGTGGGCTATTAAAGAAATGCGAATGGATGGAGATGAGGTAGTTACGGCTTAATGGTAAGATTCTGAACTCACCATTTAAGGTTTGAAGAGAAAATCTGCAAAATGTTTTCTCAATGTCAAGATTCTGATGGAGGGTTCACCGGACCCAAAACGTTAACTCTGTTTTTTTCCTTCATAGATGCTGCCAGACCTGCTGAGCTTTTCCAGCAACTTTGTTTTTGTTCCTGATTCACAGCATCCACAGTTCTTTTGGTTTTTATCAAGATTCTGATTTTTCATTCTCTCCATATTTTCCCAACTTTCCTGCTGTTTCGCACACATAATAGTGAGGGGAAAATTCTGCCCATTGTTGTTTTCTTCACTTGCTAACTTGTTGTTCTTCTGCTAATGTTAATTACCAAACAATTGATTCATATCAAATCAGTTCTTTCAAAATGAACTTTTCCATGATATAATGATGCTATTGTTAACATTGACGTTCTTCAATGGAGCTCATACTTCAAATTTTACAATTCATAGTGCAGTGATGGACGGCTCGACTTCAGACTTTCAAATCTTTAATTTTTAATCAAATCTTAAGTGCTTTAAAATTGAGAGTGTACTTTTGTAAAATTATTCAGATCTGTTTGTACATACTTTCTAGCATTTGACCATTTTAGGGCATGTTGTTTACCTGACGAAAGAACAAAACATGTGGTCTGTACAACAACACACTTTGTTAAGCTGAATCATCTAGCATAGCATTTGAGCTGTATGTCTAGGTGCATAAAATGTAATGGAAATAATTGATTTTAAAATGAAAGTAGATACAAATACAATCATATCAAGCTCTAGGATTTCTTCACATTGATTCAGTACAGAGATTAAAATTTCATCTTAATATGATTGACTTGTTTTAAGTGGGAATACCAATCAATCTGAATGAAAAGAGGGAAATATGACCAAACTTCCTTTGAAGTATGTACTTTGTACCTGCCTTTACGGACTGCAGCAGAGGAAAGACAGATAGAAGTTGGTTTGAGATCCTGCTTCCATTTTGCACTTAGACCTACCTTTCATTAGTTTTTTTTTTTCATTAAGATTATGAGAAGTTCTGCTGTGGACAAGTCAAGCATTCCAAGATTAAATAGAAGACATTGTAGAGTAAAACCCCAGTCTGTGTCAAATAATTTCAGAAAAGCATCCCCTACTGTGACAGTTTCTGTACCTTATGCTGAGGGAGGTCATTGTGTGAAATGGATTTCACAGAGTGGTAATGGAGATAGCAAGTCTGGAAAATTGTAAGGGACAATTGGGTAGAAGTTCAAGGCAGACATAAAGAGTTATTCTTCACTATTCTTCAACAGGCATACACACGAATCAGATCATTCATTGAGGACTACCCCTTTAAAGGAAGGTTCCAAAATATTCAATATATCGCTAACTCTTTAAATGGTGTGAAGGTGGATCACTGCAAACCAGGATTTGGCAAAAACATCATAACAAGTGAAAAGTGTGTAGGATGTTGTGGTAAGTTTTAAATCACCAAATACTTGCTTTGTGTTATGCTCTAATAAATTAAACCATCCTCAATTTGGAACTAAAAATCCACAAAACCAATATCCCAGCTTTTGAGGCAATAAGTATCTTTGACGATGACTGCACAAAGTTAGTAGGGCCAATAAAAGGTCATTTCATTTTAATCTACTGAGCAGTTTTAATCAGGAAAGTTCTAAAATTCTGTTTGAACTCTGCATGTGGCACAATCTTTGGTGTGCACCTATGCATTTGGCATATGACGATTGTTTTCTTCTGTCATCTATAGATATTTTTAATCAACCTGTTCAGGCATTTTTAATGACACACGCTCGGAACAGATGGGAGTTGAACCTGAGCCTTCCGGCTCAGAGATACGGACACTACCACAATGGGACAGCACACTCTTTGTAAAAGCAACTATGTATACCCAGCTAAGATGTGCTGGCTATTGTATAGGGTAGGAATGCAACCAGTGTGAGTTCTGCATCTATTTCAAGGCAGAAAACACCTGCATGAGTTTAAAAGTTGTGACTGGTTAAAGCAGCTTCAGTTTAGCAGCTTCCAAAGTTAATAACAAAGGTTGTGTTTGTACTGCTGGAAGAAACAAAGAAAAAAGTACATTTCAGCTCAACTCTGGAGCTTCTGAATTCCACCTTTCTTTTTATTCATTCATGGGATGATGGTGGCTCTGGCGAGGCCAGCATTTATTGCCCATCCCTAATTGCCTGAGGACAGTTAAGAGTCAACCATATTGCTGTGGGTCTGGAGCCACATGTACATCAAGACAAGTTAAGGATGGCAGTTTCCTTCCCTAAAAGACATTATTGAACCAGATGGGTTTTTGCCGACAATTGGCAATGGTTTCATGGTCATCATTAGGCTCTTAATTCCAGATTTCCCTTTATTGAATTCAACAATTTCAAAGTAGGTACCCAGAACACTACCTGGGTCTCTGGATTAATAGTCCAGCCATAATACATTAAGCAATGGCTTCTCCTTTGGGGACGTTAATGACGAAGCAGCTGAAGATAGTTGTGTCATAGGAAATGAAAGAGGAAGATGTTGCCAGGCCATGTGACAGAAGAGGAAACTCTGTCATTAGAAAGGTTCAAAATTAATAAAGAAGAATTCTTGGATAGATTGTTGGCACTTGCAGTTAACAAGGTAGTGTGACCCAATAAGATCCATCCGAGGACTTTTAAGGAAGTGGGTGTAGAAATTGCAGGCGCACTTGCCATAATGTTTCAGTCTTCCCTGAACTCAGGGGACGTCCTAGATGACTGGAGCGTTTCGAACATTATGCCTTGTTAAAGAAAGGGTGTAAAGATAATCCTAGCAATTACAGATAGTCTAACTTTGGTGGTGGCAAGTTTCTAGAAACAATTATGCACGGTAGAATTTGTAGTCACATGGAAAAGAGTGTGTTGAATGGGAAGAGTTAGCATGGCTTTCTAAAGCGTAAATCATGTTTAACTAACTTGCTGGAGTTTTTTGCAGAGGTAACAGAAAGACTTAGTCAGGGTAACAGTGATGTACATTGGCTTTCAGAAGGTGCTGATACAGTGCCACACAGTAGACCTGTGAGGAATGTTAGAGGTCATGGTATAAAAGTAGTGATAGGAAACAGAGAGTAAAGGATGATGGATATTTTTCAGGTCAGAGGAAGATTTTTATTGGGAGATCCCCAGGAGTCAGTTTTCTGCTATATATTAATGATCTGGATCGTTGTGTGCAGGGGAAAATTTCACACTTTGCAGGTGGCATTAAACTTGGAAGCATTGTAACCTGTGAGGAGGACAGTGTGGAATGGTAAACTGGGTGGATAAGGGACAGATGAAGCTCAATGCAGGGAAGTAAGAGGTGATGCACTTTGATAGGAATAACACAGAAATGCAATATAGGGGCACAATTCTGAAGAAGGTATAGGAGTTGAAGGACCTGCTTGTTTCTATGCACAGATCACTGAATGTGGCAGGACAAGTGGAGAGAGCATACCTGGCTACAAGGTATGATTCTATGTGTATGAATTTATCTGTCTGTCACTTGACTAGACTGAGAAGCAGCTCTCTCAATTCTGGCACAAGCCTCCAGACATTAGTAAGGAAGCTGTTTCAGGGTAGACAGGGCTGAGTTTGCCATTGTTGTTTTCTAGTGCCTCGCACAATGCTGGTTTTCCATTTCTCTTATACTTTGTAGCTGTTTTATACAACTAAGTGGCTTGCCAGGCCAATTCAGAGGGCATTTCAAAGTCAATCACATTGCTGTGAGTCTGGAAACAAATATAGGCCAGACCGGGTAAAGATGGTAGATTTCCTTCCTAACCTACATTAGTGAATCAAATTCAAATTCCACCAGCTGCCCTCATGATATCTGACTCCATATCCCCAGATCATTGGCCTGGGCCATTGGATTACTGACGCAGTGATAATACCAGTACTCTACCACTGCCTCCCATCTGTGGTGGTTCAAAAAAAGGGCAACTTGGCAATAAATTCTGGTCTTATTAGCGATACTGATATTCCAAGAATGAATTTGAGAAAACTTTGATTACCTGTTTCAACTGTTTTATTGGCAATTACATTTGCATTCTTTTAATTTGAACTATAAATTGGTATGCGAAGGACGACAGTGACAGATCAAGGACATTACTTTTGATTATCATACTAATAAGAAAGCTATCTTTATGCACAGCAGTCCTGTAACAGGAATAAATATTCATACTCAGCATTCACGTGCAAGTTAGCTCAAAGTCAATGTGACTGTCTGCATTTTAAATTCCTCTCTGTACTGATTGAGAAGACCAGTCAGATTGGTATATTTTCTCATTTTCTCCTGTTACTTTGGCCAAATAGTGACTTCATTGGATTCGTTACAGATACAGCATTTTATTTATTTAAACTTGTCTACCTGAGTATGAGGCACTGTCAGTCAAGGTGATGGAAGATTTTGCTCCCATCAACTGAATTTTGTACCTATGCAATGCTCCCCCTCCTCCAGTTCTCTTGATAGTAATTTGAATGTAGCTGACAAATTACTTCTGCTTTACTTTAATTTTCCTTTTTCTATCATCATTAGTTTGTTGTCATTTAATTGAATAAGCACCCAGCTATTCATCACAGGGACAGCATGAATGGGTTCATTGTCTAAAAATTATTTGTTTGAAATCCTACCATCACTCATCTGTCCCATATATGTTCCCACATAGGGGACTGGATTTTCATGTTAGAGACAGGTAGTAGGAGCCTTTGGAAAAGTGTTTCAAAAAGCACAATCTTTGTTCTGAGGCAGTGGCGGGTACATGCTGGAGTCAGATCCACCACCTGGGTAGCTCGGAAGTAGCTTTAGAATCTGTCGAGCGTTAAGGCAATCTGGTTAAGAGGACTGTCTTGGTCCTCTGGGACTATTTCTCAGTTGTTGGTTTCAATCTTTAGCCCTCTGGCCCTTCCTCTCACATCCCTTTATCCACTCCCCATGTCACCTATGCCAACTCATGCCTCCACCCATGCCAATGGGCCTTACAACCTCCATGTTAACCCATGTCCTTAAACCCACCCTTATTGGCCACTCAGACCCTTCAAGCTAGTTCAAGTCACATAGTGCAATGGCCAATGTGCTCTGAATTCATACACACTTCTGAAAATCCAGCCAGGATTTTCAGCTCTACTTGTTGTACCTTTATCAGCAATTGGCACTTGATGAGGATTCCAATGAGTTAGTTCACAGATTGTGGGACAATAACATTGGCAATTCATATCAAACAACAGAGGTCTCACTGCATTTCTTTAAACAAAACTCTACAAATTTAATGTCTGTATTCCTCTGAAATTTCAAGAATAGTTTGTAATTTTAGATCGCAAGGATTCTATTAAATAGTCATCCTTCACCTTAGCAATGATAACAGGGCTAAACAAGTACCAATAATGGCATCACACAGAAAAATTTTGGCCTGAATTTAACCATTAGCAGATTTCTTGTGGTAACACACATTAATGAGTTAAATATTCTCTTGTTGCAGACTAGACCAGATCAATTTAACAGTTTGTCTTCATATAAATGTCAGATAATAGAACAGATAAATCCTCAACCTCAGCCTTCTTTTCAAAGCTCAAAGGTTACAGGCACTGACTTAGTAATGTTTATTTTATTTGAAATGGTCAATTTGGAAGGACAGTAAAGTAGATGGTATTTCATATTTAGTAAAACCGAAAGAACTGTGGATGCTGTAAATCAGGAACTAAAAACAAAGTTGCTGGTAAAGCTCAACAGGTCTGGCAGCAGAGATAGTAGGAACTGCAGATGCTGGAGAATCCGAGACAACAAGGTGCAGGGCTGGATGAACACAGCAGGCCAAGCAGCATCATAGGAGCAGAGAGGCTGA